GTGTCTCCACCTCAGCCCTTCCGCCCCCCACCCAGCAGCCGTATATACAGTTATATTACCCCCAATATATACACCTCACCCTGCAGTCGTATATACAGTTCTATTAGCATAGAACTGTATATAGGAAGCGAGAAGTGTGCACTACTAGCACCCGACATCCCTCGTGCAACTCCATGTTAGACTGGGCTTCGCTCATGTAGGGCAGAGCAACATGTTCACTTGAAGTATTAAACATACATTGCCCTGCAAAGTTATTTCTGTACATTTTTTTGTTTAAAACAGCCATAAGGTTTGAAAACAGCTCCAACTCTCTCAGCTCAGATTCCCTGAACTTCCTGTCCAGCACAAGATTACAAGGGACAGAGCCGTCTCCAGCAGCCTTCCATCTACTAGCTTGGAGATGGAAGAAAGGGAGAAGAGAGGAGCGGGTTGCCTTGCTGTGCCCGTGAGTTTATGGAGACACACACAGGGGGGGCTCCATAGGACCCTGCAAGGGAAAGAAGTCCCCCTAATACAGACTCTCAGGCGGACCAGCTGATTCTGCACAAAATAAGCATGTAAACATCTAGGAGCAACATAAGGGATTTAATCAGCATTGAAATAGCTTTAAAACCCTTTTGATTTTATGATCACTTTAAAACTGCGGCTTCATTTGGCTGCTGGGATCGGGAGAAGTGGCCCCCTGGGCCAGCAACAAGTTACTCATGTCATAGCTTACACAAGGCTATAGACAGCTGTATGCAGATGGGCCCGGTGCTGTCATGGAGTCATATGCAGCTTTATGGAAAAGAGGAAAATGGAGCAACGTGCTGCAACACAAAACAGCATAAAGCGAACCCGTGTCATGAAGCAAAGATGGCCGTCACCCCAGGAGCTTGGACTTCCCATGCTGAACTTGATAGCTGCATAATAGGTTGCATAGCGCAGGGGCAGCCAAACTGCGGCCCTCCAACTGTGGTGAAACTACAAATCCCATGATGCATCTCTCTACCGGAGTCACGTCTGAGAATCTTGCAACACCTCATGGGATTTGTAGTTCCACCACAGCTGGAGGGCCAGAGTTTGGCTACCCCGGGTACAGAGCGCCTGATGACCCGCTATCCCTATACTTAGCTGGGCAGTAGGGACTAATGACGTCACAGAGATGAAGGTATGAGAAGGCGGCTCAGCGATGGACAATATTTGGAGGTCAGCACAGCACGCATCCGCGCTGAACTACAACAGTGCCGGAGCCGCGTCTTGTCAACATTGCTATACACGCGAGTCATGGAAAGTGACCGGGCCAAGCTGTCAATGGATGGCATCATATAAAAACACAGCCAGAACTTTGCCCATTGGTTGGGTCCAGAGTGGGTACCACAAGTAGTTCAACCTAAAGACACAGCGGAGGCAGAAGAGGAATGGGGCAAAAGAGGTAATGAGGTCACCAGCACACCGGGGGTCACATCAATCCGTCCATTATCAACGAGATACACAGTGGCCAGATTATTATGACCACCCCATCTGTACTTTGTTGGGTCGCCTGGTGACTCCACGAGATGGTGAAAGGTGATGCGAGGAATCTGACACGGCACTGTTGCCCTTCTGTTGTCTTGTACCAGTCTTGCCCCTCCCCCGTTCTGCCCTAACATTGACTAGTCGCTGACGGCCACAATTCGCACGTTCAGACCCAGATTTTCGGCTGACAGTCCGGTCTTTAAACACTTTAACAATGAGCTGCTCTTGAACATTTACCGAATTCTGCTGTTTTGCTGATACTCGCTCCATGGCTCCGAGCGCCAACAATTATCCCGCGTTCAAAGGCTGTTACATCGCGTGGTTTCCCCGAATCTTCAGAAACAAATCAACCCGCTTCCCTATTTATAATGGTGTGTGTGTGTGTGTGTGTGTGTGTGTGTGTGTGTGTGTGTGTGTGTGTGTGTGTGTG